ACCATCACGTAGTTCCAAAATTATTGCGAAGCACAGTAATAGGTAGCAGCTTAAACGTTCACATACATTGGTTCTAAATATGTACCTTACCGTGCGACCTATTGCTATTTACGGCGTTCGACGGCCTCCCTAGTCAGTACCATATGATATACGTCCATTCACCTTAATCAATATCGAGCATGGTGACGGATGGTGGTGGAGAGACGGGTGCAAGAAAATTGTGGACCATCTGCTCGAGTTCCCGTTGAATGTGCACTCGTAATTTTTCGAGCATAATATTTTGGTTCTCCACACACTTTTTTATGAAGGTCAGTTCGCATATGACATAGGGTAGGATGATGTGATGGCAGGCCGCATTGATCGATACTTCCAATAGCCCTTTTTGGCTCTTGTAAACACATTTGTTTTGGACGACACTGCGGGCGCAGTTACAACCCTCATACCTTACAATTGCCATATCCATATGCTCGAGCACGGCATGTTAAAGATTGTTGACTGATAACTTCATTAGATGACGTTAAAAACGTGCAAAAGACGTGCGAGTTGTGCGCAGTGCGACGGGAGCGTTTGAAAATTAGATTTCGGTTGCGGAAACGGCAAATAAAAAATCAGTATTCAAATTTAGCCGACGAAAAAAAGTTTTTAATATACGTGGTGCGCACCGTAGCTTTATCGGATATGTTGAAACCGGACTATCTCTATTATACGTATACCCACATTCCAATTCGTTAGTAATTATAACAGATTGTTGAAGATTAATAGGAAGTAAACTGCGGCTCGAGCCCAATTAACACGCCATGCTGCTCAGTCTTACCTAATCGAAAAATTGAGCGCCTGAAGATGATGCTCCAATTTAATTTTCAGCGCGCGTCCAGCAAAATCATTGCCAATTTTGCAAGATTGTTTACGTTCCGTCTGGACGACTACCAAAGTCTTCTGCTTTAACATGTATGACCTTTTGCTTGTTAATTTCAACAGGGCTCATTTATCCTTCACAAAGGCCTTATGCGCACTTTTTTTGCAATATTTTAGCCGCTGTCACCATTTGAGTTCAGATCGTGCAATACTCAGAACAATCAACGGTTACGGCTTTATTAAGTCATGTTTACTTAGCTCAATACAGCAGGACAAATTTCAAACCAAAAATGAAGGCGCCCCAGATAAGTAGCACTATAATCGTCGCGGGTACCTTCGCATTCCCTTATATTTTTTCTGCTTCCGTTACTAGAGTATCGATTGAGGCATCATGTGTTACTCATTTGATGTCGAAATACTATATAAGTTGAGCTGCCACCGACCTTGTTGTACTAAAGAATTATCATCTCTATGTGTAACCTGGGCTGGCGGCACGCAATCGGTAGATCATTTACGCATGTTTTAAATTTGCAAAAGGAAAACGTCACTTATAAAAATAGAAAATAAACATACATATATGATCAGTTCGTACCTGTAGAGGGAATAGGTGATCTCGTGACATGACGCGAATTAATTTAAAATGCTGATATTATCATATAGGCAATCGAGAGCACGTTCCTGTAATAAATAATAATCTTCTAGGTAATGATATAGCAAACGTGTTCAACACACGACTTTTTGTCAGAAGCTATGGTTGCGATGGAGCGTACTTCTGCTTAAATACGTATGATGGCATTGTACCGATATAGTTAAAATTATTGTGATCCCGAAACTCACGTTTACGGAACGGGCTGAGGAAGTAAAGAATCGGAGCAAGAAATTGCTCAGAAAAGTCAGGGAGAAGTAAACTGAATCAATTATAGGTAAACCCCTTTATCAAATCCTTCTTCATCATACTACAATCACCCCTCTCTATAAGAGACTCTGGATAAGAGACACCCTCTATATAAGGGTCACAGTGTCGCCGAACATTTCAAACTATATAGTCATTTGTATAACATTCTCTTCATAAAAGAGTAAGATATAAGACTCGAATAACACTGGCCCATTTGAGGTGAAAACCCTCTTTATACGACTCACTATCCCTACTTCTGATGCTGAAAGAGATACGTGGCATATGATGAGACAGTTGTTTTAGCCGAAGATTTTCCTTAAACCTATTCAGCAACGTCATAGAACCACAGACGTGACCAAGGGAAAGACATAGAGCATAATATAATAGTCGAGCTTATGAGGCCCATATTACTGATGACGACAGTTACAGAAGACTACTTTTAATAACTTCGCAAGACAATACATAGGGAGAAGTAAATTTTGGTTTTCGTAAATAATCGACTACACTACTGATACAACACGTCTACCTAAGAATATCAAGCCTGTGCAACCAATGAATTAACAAAGCGAGTATCCATCTCTCGAGAGCAGAAGTACGAGGTCTTTCAACACTGCAAAGAACGCCCAAACATCCGCTTTTAAGAAGTGCAGACTTATGTAAGCATTCAGTTCTAGCACAACATTAGAAAATCAATGACGCATCGGCTCATGGCCATGAAAAAATCGACTTTGAGGGCTTTTACCCTAATGTAAAAAAGGAACGACGTGTAAATCATCCTGAATTCGAGAAAGAGCTGCTAAAATTCGTTCTCGAGCGCGAGAGTGCCTGGTTATCTGAACATCTGGCCCTGTAGAGATCAGACCGACTGCGAGTGAGCCATGATATCGAAGATCACGCTCTCAAGCTTTCCAAAGGCTGGCTCCAGCGTTTTATGAAGCGGAACAACATCAAAAGCCACACATTTATAGGCGAGCGCGGGAGCTTATGTATCGAGAATGTGCAAGCAGCAAAGTCTGAGATTCGATCTCTGATTGAACAGTATTCTCCTAGTGAGTGATGTATTTAATTTTGATGAGACAGCATCAATTTACGACTTGCCACCGAATAAAACCCTATCCACGGTTCAAAACAACGGCAAGAAGAGCGTAAAGTCACGCGCAATAGTTTCTCTGTGCTGCAACGCAAGATGCTCTGAAAAGCTGGAGCCCATGATCATCGGGAAGTTCAAAAAGCCAAGGTGCTTTAAGGGTGTGGAGACCGAGAAGCGTGGCATCGTCTACGCTGCGAGCTCAAACGCCTAGATGACTGTAATTATCTTTGATAAGTAGCTGCATCAATTTAAACTTTCGAATGCTGGTCGCATAATCTTGCTACTTCACGGAAATGCTTCCAGTCACAAGGTCCAACGAGAACTCAACAGCATCAATGTGGTATTTTTCCCGCCTAGAATGACTTCCACTATCCATTCGATCGATGCAGGTACGCATTAATATCTCGTAATTTATACATGCGCGTCTTAAATCTACATTTATCTCCTCACCTACATATATGATATATAGGTATCGTCCGATTGTTTAAAGCTCGCTACAAGAAACTTCATATGCGATGGAGCATGTATTTGATCTAAGCAAACATGGAACGCAGAATTAATGTCCTAGAAGCCATTGAGTTTGCAGCTGAGAGCTGGAACAGTATTAGCGGGGAGATCATTTGAAGTTGCTGTATCAAGAGTGGGATCATCGAAGCGCCACAGGTTGCGGACTTGCGTGCACAAAACGACTGTCGACAGTCCAGACTCGCCTTCGAACAAGACTGTTGCGATCTGGCTGATATGTTTCAAAGCTTGGTAAACCGTTAGCGTGGATGATTATGTCGAAATCGAGGACCAAAGGTAGATTCACGAAGAACAAGAAACTCTGATTGAAGCAGAAGTGGAGCCCGCGGTTGTCGAAAGCGACGAAGATCAAGCGCCTGTCATTGAAAAAGAAGCACTAAAGTGCTGCCTGTTTTTGCGTTCGTACTCCATTTGCTCACATGAGGACACGCGAAACATACAGTCAGATCTGGATAAGATGTCGTCGGTTATTCGCAAGAACCGGCACGCTAGGGCGATACAGCTCGACATGAGAGACTTCATTTAGTAGAAAAACGTTACAATTCATTATAATCGGCGGGTCACGCTTCAAAAAATATCATGTAACATCTTCCTTTCAGATTCTCTATAAGAGACTTTTTATACGACACGCTGTGAAAATTGGGCACAAAGTTGTCTCTTATAGAGAGGGGTCGGTGTAATACTTTATCAAACTCCAAACATCCAATACATAATCTCTCTCACCATTCATTGCGCGCGCCCAGCAGCCTTTGGTGCTTTTTAGATTGATATCATGGCCTACATCAACCAATGATGAAATGGCGCCAAATGTTACCTTACACTTTTTACTCCTTCAAGATTGACTCTCAAAAGAGTAATGTTGAATAAAATCATCCATTGAGATATTATTCGCATTGCCACAATTCGTGCCATGACATGTAAGGGCTCACCCCTATAAGAACACGTTTAGCTAAAGGAACCAATAACACTGTATGTAAAATAGTTAGGCTTCTTTATAAACCTCTTTTTATTCTACTCTTATTAGATTGTACTACAAAGGACGAATGTGGCAACTCGCTGTCTACCCATGTCGCGTCTAGCAGCGATTGGTAGCTTGATGATTGGTTGATAATGTGGTCTATGTCAACTACATGGTGGAGAAAGGCTGCATACTACCTTCAAAGGTATCATTATTTGTTATTTGCTTCGCAAGGTACAAACTGATGAATATTATCCATTTAGATAATATTCACATCGACCAAATATGGTGCGTACGACATGTAATGGGCTGCAAAATGATCGCCGGCCATCAACTTCCTGGAACTTATCGGCCACTCCACTCAAATTCCCGGACCGCATCGCCCCTTTGCCAACGTGTGACGTGGCCGTACGCTCCAAACGCCACTCGTGCCCGAAAACGACTTACAACTCGCCTCCAAAGTGGTATTTCCATCGATCGCCTCACCTCATCGACTTTCGGTACCCCGTGAATTGTCCCCGCGTTCCACCCGCACCACTTCTCACAGGGGTTCAGTTCCCTCTCCTTCCCCTCTTATACCCACTCCGCTAAGACATTGCTATCCCAACTTCCACGAGCTCCGACACTCGAAAAGCTCTTCAAAGAGCTCCGACCCACCAAACAAAACAGCACTTGTAATGTTGTCCAGAGCTTTCACTCGCGCGGTCCGTCCCCCGCTCCATCGACGAACCACACGACCGGTGCCGGCCGTGCAAACGTACCACATTGGCCTCCACCCGACCAGTGCTCGATCGCATGACGCGCTCGTCAAGCAGCAGCAGCAGCTGCGCACCGAAGGCGTTCTCCCCTACAGCCTCCACACGCCCGTGTTCCAAGTCTTTGGGAGCAATACGGACATTGGTAAGACGGTCGTGTCCGCCGGTATCTGCCGCAGTGCAACCACAGCAGCGGCTGCAAACGGCTCGCGCAGTGGCGGACCGGTCGCGTACATTAAACCGCTGCAAACGGGCGTCGACACGACCGGTTCCGTGGCTGTTGTGGGCGAAGGGGACGCGTCGTTTGTCGAGCGGTACGCGCGCGACGACTACAGTTCGACAACGAAGAGACGACAGTGTCCCGTGCACTGCTCGACGCTGTTCTCGTGGCGAACGCCCGTGTCGCCGCATCTCGCCGCGCACTTGGAGGGCCACTCGATCTCGGACGAAGAGCTGCTGGAACTGCTGGCGAACAAACTCCAAGTGCTGCAACCACAGCTCACCGAGGAAGAAGAAGAAGAAGAGGACAATAACAAGGCGGGTGAAGGTCTCGTGCTGGTCGAGACAGCTGGTGGCGTGTGCAGTCCCACGGCATCGATGCGGCCACAAGCGGATGTGTACCGTGCGCTGCGTCTTCCAGTTGTGCTGGTCGGCGACGGCAAACTCGGCGGCATTTCGACCAGTATGTCCGCGCTGGAATCGCTGCTGATTCGTGGCTACGACGTTGCTGCTATCTGCCTGATCGAACAGGATAAGCTGGACAATGCAGCAGCCCTCGAGCCACGGACGACAGAGCTGGGTATCCCGATCTTTACTATGGACGCTGTGCCGCCCATGCCAGAGCCACTGGATAAGTGGTACGTGGCACACGACGCTGTCTTTGCAGACGTAACCAGAAGCCTCAAGTCGTTCCACACTGCTCGTCTCGAGCGCTTCAAGGAGATGGAACAACGGGCAGAGAAGGTGTTTTGGTGGCCCTTCACCCAACACAAGAAAGCTGGGACGGTGTCGATCATTGACTCGGCGCATGGCGACGAATTTAGTGTCTACCGCCCGGACAGCAACACGGTGACACCGCTCTTTGATGCATGTGCGAGCTGGTGGACACAGGGTGTTGGCCACGGCAATTCAAAGATGGCCACAGCTCTGGCGTACGCGGCAGGTCGATACGGTCACGTGATGTTTCCAGAGAACGCTCACGAACCTGCTTTCCAACTTAGTGAAAAGCTGCTTGCATCGGTTGGCAAAGGCTGGGCCTCGCGAGTGTACTACTCGGACGACGGATCGACTGCTGTGGAGGTCGCTCTGAAGATGGCATTTCGCAAATACGTGCTCGACCACAAGCTGGATTACAGTCAGTTTGCATCGGATCAAGCGACGCGATCCAAGATAATCACGCTCGCGCAGGCCAATTGCTACCACGGCGACACACTGGGTGTAATGAACGTCGCGGAGAAGAGCGTCTTTAACGAGATGCAGCATCCGTGGTACCGACCCGAAGGTGTCTTTTTGAAAGTTCCGAAAGTGGCGCTGCGAAATGGCGCGTACGAGATTTCGATTGACCCGGAAATTGCCGGCGAACACAAGACGGAGGAACCGCTGCCTTCATTCGATGCTGTCTTCGATTCTTCGCGCGACCAAAGTCCGTTGGCCGACGTCTATCGCAAGCACGTAGCTCACGCGATCGACAGCACTGAAGAGACTGGCGTACATGTGGGATCTGCGCTCATTGAGCCTATCCTTATGGGCTCAGGTGGTATGTTCCTGGTGGATCCGCTCTACCAGCGTGTGCTCGTGCAAGAATGTCGTGCTCGCAAGATCCCCGTGATCTACGACGAGGTGTTCTCAGGCTGGTGGCGACTAGGAGTGGAGTCAGCGCGCGATCTGCTTGGCATTGATCCGGACATCGCATGCTATGCGAAGCTGTTGACTGGCGGTGTGGTCCCGATGGCTGCCACGCTTGCATCGGAGGACGTCTTCAACACGTTCTACGCAGACTCGAAAGGTGAGGCGTTGCTGCACGGCCACTCGTTCACGGCGTACCCTGTCGGTTGCGCTGCGGCCGTGACCGCGTTGGACATGTACCAGATCCTTAGCAATGCAAGGATTCCTACCAAAGACGCCGCTGTACGAACGTACTGGAACATCGACGTTCTCGCTGAGCTTTCCACTCGGCCGTACATCGAGCGCACGTTTGCTATCGGGACGGTAGCATGCGTGGAACTGGCAGTAAAGGACGCTGGCTACGCGTCGACTGAAGCTGCCGAACTCATCCAAGTCTTGCGCCGGAACGGCGTGTACGCTCGTTCCCTGGGCAACGTGCTGTACATGATGTGCTCGCCCCTGACAACGCAAGAAGACTGCACCAAGTACTTGACACGATTCACGCAGCAGATGGAGCGCTTGCAAGACAAGAAGTAACGCGTCGAGGCAAAGGCAGTGTCGCTTCAAGCAATGATGTGATTGACCGCCTGTGATTTTGTGCGAGGAAGTTCGATTCGAACTAAGAGATGACACATCCAGCACCACCACCAGCAGCAGCAGGTGCGTAACTCCCACGTCGCTTCTGGTCGATAAGAATGTTGAGCTCCGTCATTGCGTTGTCGAATTTGCGGATAAACAGCGGTCGATCGGGCAGCGCTCGTGTCTCTCGGTCGTGAATGAGTCTGTTGCGTAACGTCGCAACGTAGCGGATCGAGCGCACTGTGGGAATGGGGAGCAGCCGCTCAACGGACGAAACCATTTCGTGCAGCCCCTGACCGTGGGCGTTGAACTCGTGTTCCAGCCGGTACTCGAGTTCCTTGGACGTCTCAATGGCGAGTTGGTAGTCGTTGCTCGAGTACACGAATTCTTTACCTGAGACGTTCCCCATGTGGCCAACTGATCGATCGGTCGGTCGGTCGTTCTCGTGTCGCACAGTATCAAAGTGAGGACGACAGCTGTCATTCTCGTTCGGTGGTTTTTTTTCAGGTGCCACTCTGCAGCTTCTGATCCGTCCGACGTTGCGGCTCTTTTCGACTGGCGCTGTGCTTTTTGTGCTTATAAATCATAGTAAATACCGAGAAACCCCGTCGGGCGGTGCTACAAACTATGGCGAATTTGAGAGAGATTGTGCACCGACGCTGAACGCAGATGTGTGACCTGTTGCGTCTCACGAGCACGAAGGATGAGTTGCTGGCGCTCCCGTGTGTACTCTTGTGTGAAATTGGCGATGTAGCCCAATAGTTCGTCAACGGGCAACGTGTCCTCTTCCTCGAAGTAGTGGAGAAAGTTGAGTCGCTACAATGCACACAGCACCAGAAGAGGTCGAGAGTCAGGATCAAGAACGAGCCTCACAGGCACAGTGCAGTCGGAAGCGACATACCTCTCGCTCGAGTTGGTCAATGAGCTCCCGCACGCCGTTGAGCATGTGCTCTGCTTCGTCAGCATACAACCGCATAGTCTTCCGTGAGGCTGTCAACTCCGTCCGCACATTGTCGTCGTCGGTTTGCACCACTGCCATCGTTTGCGTCTCGTGTACGAACTGGCGAAGACCTTCTTTGAGTGATTGGTACTCGGCGACAAGGCTCTGGACAGACAGCTTGCTGCACGTCGTGATCAGAGATAGCTGGTGACTAAACAGGGCGAGGTGCGGCTCGTCGCGCTGTCACATTCGAGCACCCATCAGTCAGTCAGTCAGTCAATCAGTCAGCAAGCAGTCCATTACGTCACGTGGCAATCGAAACACGCATCGCTCACCTCAATCGACTGGATCACGTACTGCAGGAAGGAGATCCGTCCATCGTAAGCCTTTGTAAACGACAGTTTTGCGAGCGAGCTTATGGTAATGCTTTTCACCCATCGGGTGTACTCGACCCCCTCGCCAAAGTTTAGCAGGTTGCCCAAGTGGAAGATGTATTCAAGTACGCCAGCAAACTGGTCGCTCGAGCACACCTGCTGAATCCCGCGTGTCAAGAGCTTCAAGCTGTCGCTATGCATGTTCAAGCATCATGTGTGTGTGAGTTTCAATGCATCAACGCACTCAAGTTGTCGGCCAAAAAAAACACACCGTAGCTCTTCGACCCGCAAGGTGAAGTCCATCTTGTACTGAAGACAGCGCAGCTTCTGCTGTGCCCTAGGAACACTGCGAGCGACCATCAAAAACTGCTCCGCCTGTGCCGAAGAGAGAACGCAACAAGTGGTCAGACGTCGACCAGATCAGTCGGCAGGCCAGGGAAAGCAGCACTTACCGTGGCTAGACTAGAGACGTCACCATCAAAACGGTCAATGGCCTCTTGCTCCGTACTGTCAGGCCACATGTCAATCAGTGACTGCAACGCTGGACTCGACAATACGTCGCAAGTTAACGTCAAGATTTGGTGCGCGAGCTCTGGAAACGTCCGCTTCACTCGCGCAAGCACAATAGCAATGTTCTGAGACTTTTTGTGATCCAGCAGCACGACGCACATCTTGCGTCGCAGGAAGGCACGACGAGGACCTCTGATCTTGTTTGACTCACATACGCCTTCGTCCGTCGTGGGTTCACTCTCGATGTCGTCTCGAACCTCATCGTCACCACCATTGGAATCGGTTGGGTCCGAGTTGGCTCGCTCGCGTTTCTCCACTTCCTCCACGTACTGTGCCAAGGGCAGTTCCTCAAACATGGCGCCTTCCTGGCCCCCTGCAGCAGCGCTTTGTCGTCGAACAGCTTTCGCTTCGACTACTCCTTTGACAAAGAGCGTTTCCATCCACCGCCGGCTTTCACTTGAGATGCACACGCCGCCATCTCGTGGTGTTTTTTTCTCGTGGATTTGGCTCCAGAGTGAACACTGCCGTTGAGCTCCGACAGCTGAGTCAGTGTACGGAGTCGTCGACCAGTGCAGTTTCTTGCGCGTACCGTTGTTCAGCTTGCGAAGAGCCAGCAGCGCTAACTCCCGCCCAGTGCTGCTCACTGCACTCGAAGCGGATCGCGCGGCCAATGCGTCGGGTGTCGACGGTGCAGTCGACACAATGGAACTAACACTGGAGCGTCGAGACCGCGTGGCCAGCTCGGCATGTGTGAGCAGCCGATCGTCTTCGACGCACTTGACGACTGCAACACCAGGTTTAGCACGACACGGTGTGTCCAAATCAGCGGCGTCTACGCCTTCTGTCCGTGCCTTCATCTCGACCACGAGACGTGGCACGCCGACCTGAAGCATTCGCCTGAACGACTCGACTTTCTGCCTGTGCTTGAGACCGATCGTGTCGAGGAGGTCGTCCATCGGTGGAATCTGAATGGGCGCGGGGACCTTTTTCACACGTGGCGTCGTCGAGTGGATCAGCTCGTCCAGCACCTTTGGGTCCTTGTTCTCAGCTCGTAGTTTGTGCTCGACAATAGCTCTGGGAAGGCCGACCTTGAGCATCTGTAGGTACGTTGCGTACTCGACCCGCAGACTGTCGAGTCGAGTCGCCGCAGAAGTTGTCTCGGGGGATACGACCAGAGTCGGTACCTGCAGCTCATCGTCCTTGGCACGACATTCACTGCTGTTCTCCACGATGTTCAGCTTCTTCTCGTCACTACTTTGGGTGGTCATGTTCGTGGGACACTGTGTCACTTGGGGCTGCCGAGCGCAGCAAACAGGCAGATCTCTGCGCCTGCAGGCGTGAGCGTGGACCACAACGCGGCTCCAGCGCACATTGGCGACCAACGTAAAGCTCACGAGGAGATGGAAAAGGAGCCAATACTCACTTGAGGTCGATGCTGCATGGCAGCTGGTCGAGTCCATTGCAGCAGTGTCAGTCGGCACGAAAGGGACGCAGAGGTTGGCGAGGAATGTACAGCTTTCGCGCATGTGGGGGTCCATGTTATTGCAGTAGTACTTACTGTACGCGTGCAAAAGAGCGTCACGTTTGACAGGGGCGACGGACTCCTACAGTACTATGCGCCCAATCAGTCAGTCAGTCAGTCAGTCAGTCAGTTAGTCAGTCGGGTGTATGACTGTGGGTAAGTAGGTGCTTTGTAAAGTGCAGTGTGAGCGACTGCAATTCGACTGGTAACGAGAGAGAGAGAGAGACGTATCGGAGCTAACGAATACCCATTGACTTGGCCGTGCGAACCAGCAAAGCGTTGATCCGAAGTTGACGCGCCCCGTCCGTTCCAAAAATTGATCTTTGCGACGTCCGTCGGGGAACTTTCGCCGCTCTCGACGGGACGCGGGCGGTAACGGATGAACAACAAGAGCGAGAGCAGAGAGAGAGAGAGAGAGAGAGCGCGAGAGAACATACCGACTCGTACGTACATACATCGATGGAGTTGCTCGTCAAGCAGCAAGAAGTCAAGAGCAGCCAGGCGACTGTGGCCGCGTGTTGAAGAAGCGGCGGCGGCGGTCGTTCGTTCATTCAGGAGGGCAGAAGCGGTAACGGCTTTTTTTCGGGCGGAGACGTGCAACACACGGCACCGCGTTACGTGATTCCCCACGAGGGAGAGGTAGTTGAGGTGCTGCTGCTGTCTGCAATCGGAGTTGGTGCAGTGGCATTTGCCCCACGTCTTTTTGCCGTCACAAGTTCCGAAGATCACATCGCCTCTGCTCTCTGTACGACACGTTTCGTGCGGCGGTGTCCGGTAAAGAACGAACGAACGCGAGTGCATTACGCCGACGCATATTGTTCGAATGGGACCCCCGTGCGCGTTCAGTCAGTCGGTTGCGGCAGTCGGTGCCGTTTCGTCCAGCCAAGTGGTTTCCAGGAAAGCGGTTTCTCGAGGTGATATCTGCTTGGCAGTGTGGTTCGGCCGAAGCCACAGGCGTTGCATCGAACCTGCTCTTGTTGCTGCAGCCCACTGCACGAGGTGTGTTTCTGGCTCGACATCAACAGCTTTTCTTTGAACGTCGAGAGGGGCAGCTGCGTCTTGTAGGACATAGGCGGGCACGGCTGTGCCGCCCATAATGGGACAGGATACGCGTCTTGCAGTTGTTCCGACCGACTCTGCTTGGAGATGCGCCACGCGCGGCGTCAAATCAGCGCGTGTTGTGCAAATCAGTACGCACCACGTGCCCTCATCTTTGCACCTGATCCTCGCGGGGACCGCAGAAACACTGCGTCGCGCGGTTGGGTGCTCGGCGACGCGGTCGACACAAAACTGTGCAAACTTTGCTGCAGTCCACGTGCACGGACGCCACTGCAGGATGTTTCACGTCGTCCTGGCGCTGATGGTGCTGTTGGCATTGAGAGGGCACTCACCTGCAACTCGGCTGCTTGTTAAGTAGCTGCTGGGCGTGACAAGCAGCTGCGCTTCCCGATGCTGGAAGAGAAGATCGACGAGGTATTGCTTCGGCAGGTGCTAACGTTCGTCAATGTTCTTCAACATCGGCAGCAGCGACAACTACAACATCAGGCAGCGATCACAAGAGATGATTGAGCGTGGACACTGCATTCAGCCACAGTCTCAAGTCGGCGCAACCCGCTCATTTGTATCCTCAGGTACCTCGAGATGTGTGTACGCGCCCTGAGTTATTGCCCCATGGAGACAAACTCGGACTTGACATCCAGTCAACGAAGCGAAGATGTCATAATGACCTCCTGACTTGCAACGGTTCGAACGCGGCTGCAGTTCATCCACTGGCTCCAAGACACACTGCGGTCTTATAGCTGATGATCAAGAGGATACAACTTCCTCAATACTCACCGCATATTCGTTCGTACGTCGACTGGCTTTGCAGTCCGAAGTTGGTTTGTAACAGCGCGTAAGTCACCTTTTCGTGGGTTATGTTTTTTTGCCTCCTGCGGAACGACCGCACAGGTAGTCGCCTCATGAAAGCAGTTGCCCGCGTCTTTCACGACCGATTGGCGTCTCAGGCGACAGATCTGCTCCAACCGCTGTGATTGTTCGTACCATCGGCCGACAACACACCAACGCGTCTTTTCGATCGATTACCAGACACTTGAGCGTGTCCATTCATTCGTCCGAGAAGCGTTACACAACGCGCTACTTCGACCATCTCCGCCCTATCGCAACATGACGCCAGCCCCTCTTCGCAGTGTTAACACAAACGTGTCGTCTACAATCGCCGCATTCCATCGGCGCAACTAACTGCCCATTGCAAAGCGCTTTCTTCGACGACCAGAGACCTGAGCTTTTTTCTCTCGACGAGTGGCGGCCCACGAGCGCCATAGTCCATGAGCGGACGGGAGGGCAGACCGTTGCAGGACTTGTACCAGTCTCGAAAAGACGCTCTGTCAACCAACGCGAGAAGTAGTCGCCGCGCAGTCTCATTTGACAACCGCAGTGATCGACCACGTGACGTCGTTAGCGTTTCCGACGATGGTCGGACTAAACTTTCGGTGGTGTCCTTCTTGCTGTATGAAGGGCATCGAAGCGATAATGGATCGATCTCCTGTGGTCGAGTTTAGTGCAGGGCACTTGCCCCCGTCGACTTCGACAGTCTCTCTGACTGCCTTTCAAGTGAGAGAATGTGCATTTGCCCTCGTGCCGCGCTGCAGAACATCACGCAGCTGTAGAGTGCTACGGATCGAAACGACAGAGTCCGACCGCTATGACGTCGTCTAGTGCTCTGGCGTGTTTTTTGCGGTCTCGAGTCGACGGTCTGTGCATTAGCAGCGAAGTGGCTGTCTCGAAGCGTCAGTGGGTCGTCAAGTGGTGGAATGTCGACATGCGTCGTGACTTTTGCACGTGCGGTGTCGCAATGCCATGTGCATGCACGAGATGCAGCAGCGGTATTACAAAGTAGAGGTAGACAGAGAGGGAAGATAGGGGAAATGAAAATGAGCACAAAAGATCGATACATATCGAGATACAAAGGTACTGTCGTAAAAAGACAAAAATCAGTACGAAATATAGTTGTATAGTGCATGGTAAATTAATATTCGTATTGTCTTGACAAAAATTAAGTTATGCAGATGCACACATGCATTGCAAATGCTGGAGAAATGGGCTACATGCGAATACAGATAGGAAGAAGTACTTTTACAGATTTGTAGGATAGGAGCTACAAACACACAGGGAAGTTCAGGACGGACTTCGAAATAGTTGACAACTAGAGCGATCGGAGGATGCAGCGAAAAACGATCAGGTACTGGATAAAATCCCTCGGCATTTTCCAAAGCACGTCCACGTAGCGAATTGCCAGAGAATTGTCTGCGTGTGTAATTACACACGCAGACAAAACATGCGGTCAGGTTTAGCAATCAAAGAAATCGATAGCTATTCGAATAGACAATGGACAAGAAAATGCGTCGAATGAGCTGAGCGAATGCACGAGCAAACATATCGATAAAATACACTCGACGACAATTCGCGTGACCAGAGAGAAAAAAGATCGCTCGAACTCGTTTGGTCCTTAACAAAGAGGGACGAGCAGGTTAGTTCAGTAGACCACTACACTGTCGGACAACGAGAGACGGACGAGCGGCCAGACGGCGGTATCCTGTGCCCTGCTCTGTTCCGTCCAGTAAAGGTCCGTCCGTCCATGTCACGACGAGCGCGAGCGACGCGGTGCCCCACTTATCGCGTTTCGCAGGCCGCACGCCACTCGCCCCAGTTTCAAGCGTCAACACGCACCCGCCCGAGCTTTCAAGTCAGAGAGAGAGAGAGAGAGGGGAGAGAGAGAGAGAGAGAGAGAGAGAGAGAAGCGCGTCGCAATCAAACAACAAACACACGACCAACAACCGAACCAAACAACAACAAACACAAACAATCAAACAAACAAACACAACCAAACAAACCAACAGATATTCCAATTAAACAAACAAACAAACAAACAAACCAACAGATATCCCACCCGCACCGACTCCTTCCCAACCTCATTCGCCAAACAGACCGCCGCCGCCCTCCGCCCACCTCTACCTGTACGTGTCTCCCCCGCCTCCCCCCGTCCCTCTGTCCCTCTGCCCCTCTGTCCCTCTGCCCCCTCTCGTCATGAAGGACCTCTTGATGGTCGACGCCGTGGACGAGGCCCACGTCGTCCACGAGCTCGTGACGCGCTACCGCCAGCGCCACGTCTACACGTTCCTCGGCCCCGTCCTCATCGCGCTGAACCCGTACCAGGCGCTCGTGCAGCCGACCGGGGCGTCGATCTACGACCGCAACATGATCGACCAGTTCCAGGGCCGCGAGCTCCACCTGTGCGCGCCGCACCCGTTCGCGCTGGCCGAGAGCGCCTACACGAGCCTCATGCGCTTTGGACTGGACCAGAGCCTCTTGATCACGGGCGAGTCGGGCAGCGGCAAGACCGAGACGTCCAAGCACGTGATGCGCTACTTGACGACCATCAGCACGCGCTTCCGCGCCAAGAGCGCCGTCGTGGCCAGTCGCCGCATGTCGATGGCCCAGCGCAAGGAAGCGGACGACATGACGAGCCACGTGACGGACGTGCTCTGGGGCAGCAATCCCGTGCTCGAGGCCTTTGGCAACGCGCAGACGATCCGCAACCACAACAGCAGTCGCTTTGGCAAGTACATTGTGCTCCAGATGAACCGCGTGGGCCAAGTCATTGGCGGCTACATTGACAACTACCTGCTCGAGCGCAGCCGCGTGATCCGCCAGGCACACGGCGAGCGCAACTTTCACGCGTTCTACCAGTTGTTGACCGGCGCGACGCCCGAAGAGCGCGACGCGTGGCAGTTGCCGCCGAGCGCCGAGGCGTTTGACGTTTTGGGCAACGAAGCCGCGACGATTGAGGGCGTGGACGACGCGGCCAACTACCGCATGGTGCGGACAAACATGACGGCCGTGGGCATTACCGACAGTGAGCAGCACGAGATTTTCCAGCAATTGTCGGCGATTTTGTGGCTCGGAAACGTGCGGTTCAAGCAAACGGCCGATGAAGCGCACAATCCGTGTGCTGCGATCGATACGGTCGAAGCAAGGGAAGCGTTGGCCAAGGCGGCGGCGCTGATGGGCATTGAGAAGGACAAGCTCGAGGCCATGCTGACGTTTCGCGTGGTGAATATCTACCGCGAAGACCAGAAAGTGCTGTTTGATGCACGACAGGCCAAAAAAGTGTGCGACTCGATCATGCGGTCGCTGTATGAAAAGATTTTCGACTGGATTGTGTCTCGCATCAACAAGAACGTGACGTGCAAGAAGCGAGACATTAACAACAGCATTGGTATCCTGGACATTTACGGTTTTGAGATCTTTGAGGTGAACGCATTCGAGCAGCTGTGCATCAACTATGTGAACGAGAAACTGCAGCAGCTGTTCATTAGTCAGACGCTTGAGAGTGAGCAAGAAGGGTACCACCGCGAAGGCTTGAGCTGGCAAAACATTACCTTTTTTAACAATCAGGTGGTGTGCGACCTGATTGAGGATCCCAAACAGCACGGTATATTCCCACTGCTGGACGAGCAGTGTGCCATTGCGCGGCTGTCGGATCTCGAGCTCATTGAACGGTACAACTGCGAGCACTCGAAGAACCCTCATTACGTTGCGTCTCGCGTGCGGGGGCCCAACTTTGGTATCGTGCACTATGCCGGCAAGGTCGAGTACGACGTCACGCTTTTCTTCGATGCCAACGTGGACACGTTCTTCAACGACCTGCAGGACGGCATGGAACATTCGTCGAACGCGTTTGTCCGCGAAGTGTTCCTCGATACGCGCACGAAGGAGCAAACGCTGAAGCGCCCTCCCTCGACGTCGCAACAGTTTCGAACACAGGTTGCGGATTTGCTCAAGAAGCTGGATGGCTGCAACCCGCACTACATTCGTTGCATCAAGCCGAACGAGGAGAAGCGTCCGCTGATTGTGAACAAAGAGCTCGTTGCGGAGCAAGTGCGTTGTCTTGGGTTGGTGGAAAACTTAAGTGTACGTCGGCAGGGTTTCTGCTACAGCCAACCGTACGGTCCGTTCATTAAGCGGTACAGCTTTCTATCGGAATCTACCTGGCCAGCACCGATTGCTCATTCGTCTCGCAAGGCCGCCGTTGATCTGCTCACGACCGCTGGACTGGGTGTGAGAGACCCGGACAATAAGAACGTGCTGCTTCCGTTCGAAGAGGATTCCAACACGCTTGCGTGCTTCTCCCTCGGCCGCAACAAGCTTTTTTTGCGTCACCCACAAGCGTTGTCTGCGCTAGAGACCCTGCGCGAGGAGCGGATCCCGGTCATCGTCAGGATCATTGAGAACGCCTGGCGCCGCTACAAGAATCGCATTTCGCTGAGTGCCTTTCAAGCTGCGTATAACCAGCTTTTGGCAGCGTACGATGTTGCGTGGAAGAATTGCCAGGATCGTCGGAAGCGCGTTCCGGGCTCTGCTGCAAAGGAGCACGTTGCGCAGCTGTATTCGAAATGGGAGACTGCGTCTGCAAAGCTGCTGTACGTCGACAACAGCCGCCTGGTCAAGAACCTCCAGAAGGAAGAGGAGCTCAACTCGGTCCTTTTCATGCAGAGCTTTGTCCAGTCACGTACGCAGCGTCGTAAGTTTCAGGAGCTCCGGAGAGCTCAGATCGTGTTTAGTAAACGCTACCGTGGCCTCAAGACGCGCAAGCAGCTTACGAAAGACATGTGGAGAGCATGCAAGATTGCTCTGCTAGGTGTGCGCACAGAATTCGAGCGCTACTTGGGCAAGAAAAAGCGTCGTCGCGATTCGCTAGACCGCATGTACCAGGGCGATTACATCGGTGTGAACAAGTATCCTGCGTACGCGTTATTGATCCAGACTCATACTAACGGCAAAAGTGGCGGCGCTCGTGATCGGAATGAAAAGCTGTTGTTTTTGGACACCGTGGAGAAGGTGAATGAGCGCTGGGCACATCAGGCACGTGTGCTTATGATTAGCGAGAGCCGTGTGTTCAACCTGAAAGCTGACAAGATCCAGCAACCGAAGGAACGACGTGTGTTTGAGCTGGCTCGTCTCACGAGCGTAGCCATGAGTACGCAGCCAGACAACTACCTGATCATGCGTGTAAAGGGCGAGATCGACCTGATGGTGCAGGTGTCTCAGAAGACAGAGGTGGTGCAAGCTTTGCGTAGCCGCATCGAGAAGGCGTTTGGCCGTGAGCTGCAGGTCGAGTTCTCGGACGAGTTGGATTTCTACGCGGCGAAGGGCAAGCAACTCAAGGTCAAGTTCATCTTTGACCGCTCGATGAAGGACTCGGAATGGAGCAAAGTGGACCGCCACACGATGCTCGTCAAGGTCGGCATCATCTAAACTGCCGACGACGAAGTGACCATTTCGGATCCGACAGCGGTGAAGCTGTTCTTGCAACATATTGTGTGTGACGAAAACGCAGGTGACGAGGCCCCGACCGGGAGTTGGCTGGAAGCACCAAGACAAAGAGAGAGAGCGAGAGATGAAAGGAAAGAGAGACTCTACCTACGAATGTACAGGAAGTCGCTCGCGATCTCATACCACAATGATATGGTGAGTAGCGTAGCAGACTTTGTATCCCTCAGCAATAAAGTTCGTTTGCATGGTAAGCTCCCGTGCGGTCGTTGTGCAGTGTATCCGATGTGCGTAACGAGCGCTTTTGTCGCATCGGCCAATCGTTCTTCCAGCAACTCTTTGTGTGCTATCCATCATCCGCTAATACGTACGTGGCGGAAAGGATAGACCAGCTTCCTGAGCGGATGCGTGGATCTTCTCCATCGTCAATCAACGTGGCCGAGTCGATAGTTGCACGTTGTTGACCATGTGATGCTTCGTCGAGGATCCATCTCTCGTGAGATGTGCTGCGACACGATGCAACATCCCCCCAAGTGCTCAAGTCGGTCGTAATCAGCGCCATGTATCGATTTCTAGTCGGATCTCCAGTTTCGACCACCGATCAGGATGTTTGGATGCCAGCAACGTCAGACCTTTCCGGGATAATAACTACCCCTTCCAAGTGCCGGCTCTCAATGCACTATGCCACGGCGTGCGTGCAACCCGTGTGGAGCGCGAACTCTGTGTAGGAACTCAGAATGTGTTGTGACTGCATGCTCCGACGCGCACTCGACAGCCGCTTCGACAAGCACATCGATCGTCCACACGCCGTTGCTCGCCCCTTTCGAGCCACGTGCGACCCGTGCAATCAGCTCAGCCCGAAAACGAACGATAAACTGCGCGGGCAGCGCGTGTCGAGAAACGGTCCCCACGCACGCACGCACGGGCAGACCGTCCACAGGTGTATCCAATCACCGCATGACACAACGCGTGACAGCGTCTCGTGGGCTCTGCGGTCTGCCGCGGCCCACCACGTCTCCATCTGGTTCCACGAACGTATCCAGTACCTCGTCGTTTGTATGCCTACTCACTCAAAGGTCGCCGCCACGACCGGCTCTCGGCCAATCGGTCGATCGGTCGGTCGGTCGGTCAATCGGTCGGCCGGTCCACCATAGCGCTCGCGCCCCTTCCCGTTCATTTGCGAATTCGCTGCAAGAGCCCCACATCGCTTTCGTGCGTATCCGTATCGTAGCCGCTCGTATCCGTATCGTAGCCGTATCGTTATCCGTATCGTCGCTCCTGATGTTCCGCTCGCTCGTGAGTCGCCGCGCGCGCGTCGCGGCCCCTCCTGTGCTGCGCACGAGCCGCCACGCGAGCACAATCAAGAAGCTCATGGCCGCGAACCGCGGGGAGATCGCCACGCGGATCATGCGCGCGGGCAACGAGTTGGGCATCCGCACGGTGGGGATCTTCTCGCAAGAAGATCGGTTCACGCAGCACCGGTACAAGGCCGACGAGAGCTTCCTCGTGGGCCACGGCAAGACGCCCGTGGGCGCCTACCTCGACATTGACAGCATCATTGCCATTGCCAAAGAGAACGGCATTGAAGCGATCCATCCCGGCTACGGCTTTCTCAGTGAAAACGTCGGCTTTGCCCAAGAGTGTGCGCGCAACGGCATCAAATTTGTCGGCCCGACGCCCGAGAACCTCCAGCGCTTTGGCGACAAGACGGCGGCGCGGGAGATTGCCAAGGAGCAACACGTGCCGGTCGTGCCGGGCACGGATGGACCGGTGCGCTCGCTCGAGCAGGCGCGGGCGTTCATTGACTCGGGCGTGGGCTACCCCGTGATCATCAAGGCCAGTATGGGAGGAGGCGGACGCGGCATGCGCGTCGTCACGTCGGCAGAAGAGCTGGAAGAGAACTTTGAGCGCGCGAGCTCGGAGGCATTGGCAGCGTTTGGCGATGGCACGGTCTTTATCGAGCGCTACGTAGACCGGCCACGTCATATTGAGGTGCAGATCTTGGGGGACGGAGAGGGCAATGTCGTGCACTTGTTCCACCGTGACTGCAGCGTGCAGCGTCGTCATCAGAAGGTACTGGAGACTGCGCCGGCGATTGGACTGGACCCAGAGACGGAGAAGGCGATGATTGACGACGCCGTGCGTCTGACGAGTGCGGCCAAGTACTTGAATGCAGGAACGGTTGAGTTTCTCGTCGACCAGCAGGGTCGCCACTACTTTATTGAAGTGAACCCTCGCATCCAGGTCGAACACACGATCACTGAGGAGATCACGGGCATTGACTTGGTGCAGAGCCAGATTCGTATCGCCGGTGGCGAGACGTTCAAAGACTTGGGGCTGAGTCAAGACAAGATTAAACCGCGCGGCCATGCAATGCAGTGCCGTGTGACGACTGAGAACCCCAGCACCGGATTTCAGCCTGACTCGGGGGTCATTGAAGTGTTTCGTAGCCCTGGCGGTATGGGCATCCGCCTCGACGACGGCCCTGGATTCGTTGGCGCACACATTACTCCTCACTACGACTCCCTGCTGGTCAAGGTGACTGCACGTGCGCTGGACCGCGGCGACTGTGCGCAGAAGCTGAAGCGCGCGCTGTCTGAGTTCCGTGTCCGCGGTGTGACCACGAACAAGAGCTTCCTTACCAACGTGCTGAACCACCCGGACTTTATCAAGGGCGTGATCGACACGAGCTTCATTGCTGAGAACCCAGACTTGCTGCTGCCGTCAAAGTCAACGAACCGTGGCCAGAAGATGCTCAAGTACATTGGCAACACGATCGTGAACGGTCCGGAGAAGGCCCTGGGTGCCACTGGCCCTGCTCCGTCCAAGGTCGACCCGCTCATTCCGACGCTGTCTGCCCCGCCTGCATCAACAGAGAAGTCGCTGCGCCAGATCTACGTCGAGCAGGGAGCGGAGGCGTTCGCCAAAGCTGTGCGTGCCAAAAAGGGTCTACTGCTGACCGACACGACGTGGCGTGATGCCCATCAGTCGCTGCTTGCGACGCGAATGCGTACGCGCGACATGCTGGCGATTGCTCCTGCTACTTCCGTTGCAATGCGCGACGCTTTCTCGCTCGAGATGTGGGGTGGCGCGACATTTGATGTGTCCATGCGCTTCTTGCGTGAAGACCCCTGGGACCGTCTCGCGCTGCTACGCGAGGCCGTGCCCGACATTCCGTTTCAGATGCTGCTTCGCGGCGCCAATGCTGTGGGGTATACGAGCTACCCGGACAACGTCGTGTACAAGTTCTGTGAGAAGGCCCAGGCTACTGGCATGGACGTGTTCCGCGTGTTCGACTCCCTCAACTACCTGGAGAACATGAAACTCGGCATTGACGCTGTCGGTGCTGCTGGTGGTATCATTGAGGCTGCGATGTGCTACACTGGCGACGTGTCCGACCCGACGCGCGGTCCGTACAATCTCGAGTACTACTTGGACTTTGTGCGTCAGCTGGTGGCTCAAGGTATCCACGTGCTGGCCATCAAGGACATGGCGGGTCTACTCAAGCCCCAAGCTGCTCGGATCCTGATTTCTGCCATCCGCAAAGAGTTCCCGGACCTGCCGATCCACGTGCACACACACGACACTGCCGGCACGGGCGTGAGCTCAATGCTTGAAGCTGCTTATGCTGGTGCAGACGCCGTTGACGTGGCGTCCGACGCAATGTCGGGCACGACGTCGCAGCCATCGATGGGTGCAGTGGTTGCAGCGCTGAAAGGCTCCGAGTACGACACAGGTGTGAACGCCGAAGACATTATGGAAATCAACGACTACTGGGAGACGTTGCGCGGAGTGTACGGTCCGTTCGAGTCTGGCCAGAAGTCGGGATCGGCCGACGTGTACAACCACGAGATGCCCGGCGGTCAGTACACGAACCTGCTGTTCCAATCGACGCAGCTGGGGCTTGCGGGTCAGTGGCCGGCCATCAAGCGCGCGTACGCTGCTGCCAACCGCCTCTTGGGCGACATTATCAAGGTCACGCCTTCGTCCAAGGTCGTGGGCGACTTTGCGCAGTTTATTGTGCAGAACAAGCTCACGGAGGACGAAGTCGTGGACCAGGCCGAGACGCTGTCGTTCCCCAAGTCAGTGGTGGAGTACTTTCAGGGGTACTTGGGCATCCCGCACCACGGCTTCCCGGAACCGCTGCGTTCGCGTGTGCTGAAGGGCAAACTGCTGCCAGACGGGCAAGAGACGTTCAAGGGCCGTCCGGGTGCCGAGATGAAGCCATACGACTTTGAGGCCGCGGAGAAGGAGCTCAAGCACAAGTATGGCGAGGACAAGATCCGCGACGTCGATGTGATCTCGCATGCCATCTACCCGGACGTGTTTGCCAACTTTATGGAGTTCAAGGACGAGTACGGGTCGTTGCACTTTCTGGACACGCGCACGTTCCTCACGGGCTTGGAAGTGGACACGGAGGTCGAGATTGAGATGGAGCACGGCAAGACTGTGTTTATCAAGCTCATTGCAGTGGGCGGCGTGAGCAAGAAGGATGGCCAGCGCGACGTCATCTTTGAGCTCAACGGTCGACAGCGCGTGATCAAGGTCAAGGACGAATCTGCAGGGCTAACCACGGCGGCCAAGCCAAAGGCGACGGCGATGGCGGGGTCTGTTGGTGCCCCGATGCCCGGTGTCGTGCTTGACGTGCGAGTGAAGAAGGGGGAGAACGTGAAGGCTGGCGACGCTCTGCTCGTGCTGAGTGCCATGAAGATGGAGACTGTTGTGGCTGCTCCAGTGAGCGGTCGGGTCGTGTCGATCCACGCCGGCGTTGGGGACAACATGCTCGGCGGGGACCTCCTCGTGGAAATCGACGAGACTGGCGACGACGAAGACTGAGCTTGTCGATGCTGTACGTGGACGTCGGGCCAGTGCGAACGCATGGTCGGGTTCCCGTGCGATGGACGCAAGTGCTGAAGACTCGACGGAATAAATGAGCGTTGGCCTCGGTCTCATTGTGTTTCGTTTGTCTGTTGGCAGTCGACTCATGACGGAAAAGGCGTTCGGCTCGGATGGTATGTCGAGTCGTCCGTCCTGCACAGTCTGCCACCGCCTTCACGCGCGAGATAATATCGTGCAAGTTGGAGGTGGCGTCGGTACACGGACCAGTCCTTGCATACTATCCAGCGCTGTTCATACGCTGCTCCACTCGGACTCGGCGTTTCTGTCGATGCAAACCTGACGATGTATCCGACATCACAACCTCCAGACGCCGTTGCTCTGCAACGACAATATGCCAGAGTCCTCCCGCATGTCTCCCTCTTCGCTTGCCTGTCCAACAGAAGTAAGCAGCTTGATCATCCATTTCCGCCCTGCACAACCAACGAAAGCTCCGCGCCAATATCGTAAACGTAGTCTTCCACGAACGACTTCCTCGAGGCGGTGACTGCGGACCAAGGCCGACCATACACAAGCGCTCCAACTGGACCGGTTGCTGGTGTACACGTCGTTGCTGCGTGGCAAACACGATCTCACCATCTAAAGATGCCGTCTGATGATGTTGTGCAGCTGGCCATCCCTTACTGCAGCGATGATAAGCTCTGGAAACAGTCGGGAAGCAATAAACTTGCAAACGATGGATGGCAAAGCTAGTGAGCCAGGAGATCGAATATAGTAGCGGACCATACCTTTGCTCCAGGGCCTACTTCCACAACAATGAACAAAAAACAAAGACGTCACGGTTGTGCGCATTAATCTGCCAGCGCGACAATTCCACTAGACTCGTAGCAATGCACGAGCTGCAGCTTCTTGAGCTCGCTGATTGCTTGGCTGCCTTCCTCACAACTTGGACAGCTCTGTGAATACACGACCAACAACGACACACTTCGTAAGCCAACAGAGCATCCTCACGATTGTCGACGCTACGCACATTGAGAAACTCTTTCAGATCGACTGTCTTCCGCGGAGTGGAAGGCAACTCGGTCTCCATGGACGGTGCTAGAGGATCGCTGCTCAGCTGCTGATAGATGCGTGTCATGAGCGTGCCGATGACCGGAGAGGGAGCAAGCGTCCGTAGAAGCGAGTGCAACCGAATGCCGTTCGTGTTTATTTGAGGCGCGAGGTTTTCCATCAACGATTCCAGCTGCAAAACACAACACCGATACTCTGAGCACCACGTAATCTCACAAAAAAGCAATGGTACCAGCACTTACATGAGCTAGTTCCTCCATCGCTTCGTTCTTTTCTTCTTCGTACTGAGTCTTGAGCGATTGTTTCTGGAAGACGTATCCACCATCCACACATACACTAATTAGTTCCATCGCTCCATACTCAGCTACTCGTCGCGAAATGTGAACACACGTACATCAATCTTCTCGACAGTCGCCTTCTGCACCTCCCTCAGCAGCACGATTTCCTGCTGAAGCTCCACAATTTCGTTCTGAGCACGCTCTTCCTCAAGCCGGCGCCGTTCTTCGGCACTCTGGACATCATCGCGATCGCTCTCCTCCTCGTGATTCACACTCTCGTCTTCCAGCGTCGCAAACACTTGCTGTTGCTGTCGGATCGTCAGCGTGAACTCGTCCAACTGCGCTCGCAATTGCGCACTTTGTTCTTTCAAGCGCTGTTTCTTCCTCGCTTTTCCCTCCAACGCTTCTTCGTGTCGTTGTCTCGCTCGAGCTACGGCTCCTTCTTTTTCCTTTCGAATCTCTTCGTCCAGCAAGTCCGCTTGATCGTCCAGCTCCTTGAGCATTCGCGCATACTCTTCCTGGATGTCCGTGTTTCGGCTCGTCACGAGGTCTTGAAACTACACACAACGCGCCCAGAGGCAAAAAAAGCTATAGTGTCACATGTAGGATATGGAAACACACACCACACAATGCAACGCACGCGCTCTGACCGCCGTCGCAGCTCTTTCTCGATCCGTGACTTGGTGATCTCCAGTCGCTCGGCCGACTCGAGTCCCACGTCGTGCGTTTCTTGGAACGTCTCCTCCAGCGTACGACTTTCCGGCGCAAGCGGTGCTGCAACCACTGCCAGTTTCGACGTCAGACGGGGCATTCCTGACGCAGGCAGCGCCTGCCGCATGTGCTTCAAGTGGGTGCCCAGCAGCGCATTCGTCGCGCAGAGCTGTCCAACGTGCAGCAAAGCAGCACAACGACATACGGACATATTCAGTGGTCAACTCTTTACACGATACGGTACGTCTCGAGCGGATACGGAGGCGCACCTTATCGCTGCTGGCCGCCAACTGCAGCACACATTGGAGCAAATCGTCGTGCGCGTCGGTCATGAACGGGTTTGCTTTTGTTTCGCGTGGTGGACACTATATTCGGTCAGCTCGTGTGGTTTACATCAGATCCGGCAACATCCCATGATCACTGATGATGGCCATAACTTGAGGCCCTAAACAGTGTGGTGGACATGAGAAAACGAGCACACAATGCATCAACCGACTTGGCAAACGCGTCGACCTGCCGCTCGAAGGCCGTGTCGCCCGCCTCTTCCTCCTCCTCCCCCTCGACACCCACTGCCGCCGCCATTCGTCTTGTGCTTACCACCTGGACGAGCTGTGTATCCTCCTCGTTTCGCACCGCCTCTCCCGCCTCTGCCTCCTCTGCCTCTCTCTCCGCTTGTCGCGCATCCGAATGACCAGTTGTGGCTCAACGCTTTCAAACAGACGCACTGCTGCAATAACAAAGAGCTGTTCGCACCGGCGGGAGCTACAGGAGATGGCACTGAACCTCCGTTGAGGACATTGCGACGTCGGATTGTACAGACGCAGGAGCTCGTGACGCGCTTAAAGACTGCTGCGAACGCATTGGCAGCTGTGGAGAAGAAGCTCGAGGCATACGGTTCTGTGGTTGACCAGGAGGAAGGCGATGCAAACAAAAGACATTGGGAAACGACGCTATGCTATTGGCGGACGATGCGTGAAGAAAAAGTTGCCGAGTGTGATTCATTGGCCGAGCAGTTGAAAGGCGCGAACGTCCCGTCGGGTCTGTTGCCAACGCAGGACTTTGCTGCTGTCTGTAAATTTGCCCAACGCGTTGCGAAGAAAAAAGTACGGACTTGCAGGTGGATATGTTGCTGTAGCTAGCAAGCGACTATGTTGCTGTGACTTGACACACTGGTGGGTTGGAACAGGCGTATCGAAAGCGAGCGAAATTGCGTCGACGGGCTGCAGTTCGAGATCGTCGAGCACTGGAGTTGATGGAGGAAGACAAGCGGACAGTTGTGTCCATTGCCGAGAGCAAAGAGATACCGGTAACAAAGCACGCAGCGCCGTCGTCGCTTTCTGTGAGTTCGGAAGAGAAGGCAAAGACTGAAGCGGTAATGGAATCTGAGCATAGGGTAGTTGAGCAGTCTCTCGACCCAGAGACTTTGACGATGGAGGCTCTGATCGCTGTCCGACGAGCTTGGGATGCGTACATTGTTTATCCACACACACCGGGGGCTTCTACGATTCCGCCAGTACGCACACTTGTGCTTTTTGCACGGTGGGTGTGCTGCAAGGAGAGTGTGGAGTCGACTGACTTGCGTTTGTGTGCTTTGCTATTCAGCATTATGTGCCTCCGCCATCTGCGCCGTCTGTCCAGTGGGCAGCTTACGTCATGCCGTCCGTTCGTTTGGGAACTAGTTGAGACTAGTTGAATGGAATCGTTGATGACGGCAAGACCTGGTCAGATGAAGTGTAAGGAATGCCGATCACACGTATGCACATTTGGAGAGTTGCGTGTAGTCGACTGATTACTTACTGGGTCAATGGTCTCTATTGGCGTTGTGTCAGCCCATTCCCTGCATCGCCTCTTTCGCACACCAGCTACGCAGAGAGTTCAGCCACTTCGTCTCGCAGAGCCTGTTCAGTCTCGAGCTTGTGCAGCTGATCGTCGTTCAGCACGTCGCCACTCTCCTTCTTCGCTTTGATCGCGTCGATCTGCTTCAGTTTCTTCAGCAAACCCTTCACCTTTTTCGCCTTCTCCTCAGAAGTCAGCTCGACCGGACTCGGTTCAGTCGGTGCCTCTGAGGTGGTGCCGGCAAGTTTGGCGATCGCCTCGTCCACGGCAGCCTTGGCTTCAGCAGCCTCCTGCGCCTTTTTCTTACGGATACTCTTGCTCAGTTTCTTGGGCGCTGTAGCGGTCATGCCCGGAATCACACGAGGTGCAGCACCAGGTATTGTTGAGGTATTGCTGCGGGGAGCTGCATACTTGTTGCGGTCCAGTTTCCTCGGTCCACCCTCTTCTTTGCGCATCATTGCAGCGAGCGCTCCTGTCGAGTTTGGCGGACGGTATGCTTGCGGCTTTGGCGCAGCAATTGAAGTCGAGGATGATGAGCCAAAGCCCGCCTCGTCGTCTTTTCGGCGCGGAGACTGCGGTCGATTTGGGTACGTGTCCAGCGCTGCCGGGCGGAATTTGAGGTCATACAGCTCGCCGCGCTCTTCCTGGTGAATGGGACCAGCGCCATCGTAGCGGAAGATTTTGAAGCCGTTGTCGACACGCAGACGCGGGAACGTAGTCGCCGTTGCAAAGTAGCGGCTATCGGGCGACCACGCGAATGTCGTCGCGGAGTTTGACGTTGCGGAGCCCATCTTTTTGAGCTTGTTGCGCTCCCAAAAGTCCATGTCACCACGAAGATTTCCAAAGCCAGCCAGACACAAGAAGCGACCGTGCGGGCTCCAGCTGACGTGATTCCGGGGCGCTGCACCAAACTCAAAGACCGGGATCGCCTTGCTGTCGTAAAGCGTGGCATTTGCAGGCATTGCACCCGCGATCACCACAAACCCGCGGCCCGTCGGGTCCCACGCCACATCGTGCACTGTGCCTTCTTTCGTTAGCGGGACAATGCAGTCATACTCGCCGTCGCTCTGCAGGAAAAAGAGACCTGTTTCGCCGTAGTACGACTTGCCTGACGTATCAATGTCCGTGCGAGTTTCAATGATCAGTGCACTGCCTGTGGGAGACCACTTGAATGTCACGTCCTGTGCTTTGTAAAAGCTCTTCGTTGCTGTCGACACATCGAGGTTGGTAAATTGGAAAATCTTGACGCTAGCAGGCTTGCCCTTCTTCTCTGGAACGAACAGAGCCACCTTGTATGGTGCACTGCCAGGAGCTACACTGAAGTTCGCCACGTTCTGATCACAAAAGACCGCACCACATCATACATCATCAACTCAGCTTAGTCTAGCTCCTCGCGTAATACGGCTGGCTATCCCACGTACGGGGAGGTTGATTTGACCGATCGGTCCCGCTGCGACGTCGCGACCGCTGTATAGCATCACGCCGTTTGCACTCTGACGCGCACAGATCGTCTCGTCAGACGACCACTGAAGCGGCGGCCATTTCTATCACAACAACAACAACAACAACAAAAAGATGCAGAGCAAAAGCACGATGACAGCAAGTCAGCTCAAGACACGCACACACCACAGCATACCCATTCTCCTGCTCTCGTCAATAGGCGTTCCACGTACATCACGTGTATAGGACTTTTGCTTGAACCGTGCGACTTCTTTGCCCGTGAGCGCGTCCCACACAACGAGGTTACCGAGGTCCGAGTCTTTCTGGGGCCGCTGCCACGTCAACAAGTGCGAGCCAAGTGGCGACCAGGCCACTGCATGAATGCCCGGATTGGCCACGTCCACGACGACAGCACCACTGTCCGAGTCGTGCACGGTAAACCCCGACGCAGTGCGCACGAGCACGAGGAGTTTGCCATCGCTGGTGAACTCCAAGAGATCAGCAAAGCCCACAGCTGCAAACTTGTCATCGCGCTCAATCTTGAGCGTCTTGTCCTTGCTAGAAGAGGGCGGACCCAAGATGGACTCCACACCGCTCTTGCCACGGAGAAAAAACTTGGTACGTGGTCGGATCGCCGAGTCAGTGCTTGCGGTCATTGCCAAAGTGTCTGCAGGCACGAGAACGAGAGCAGTTGTGATCGGTGGATAGAGTTAGAGCGCGTGAGAGACGAAGAAGCGCATTGGTGGATTCGTATATATAGAGACGTAGCGGTGGCAAACGAGACAGTTGCAGTCGATCTACGCGTCACGTGCGGTGGCATCGGCGCTGTCGGATGCGTGCGAGAGGAGAAGAGCGGACTCACCTGTCGCCATTGGCGCGAGCTTTGAGGTCGTATGGCTCGCGCACGTCGTTCGTGGTCGGGTATGTCACTGAAGAGGAAGAGTGACACGCCACGGATCGGTCCCTCGTTTCTATCGTAAAGAAGTTATGCACTGCAAAGGCGCATATGTTTATTTATGGCCACAAATATGCACTGAGGTTTTTTAAGGGGGGGACAGAGCCGCTACAGACCGACCGACCGACCGACGGTTACGCTTCATTGGGTAAAAGAAACCATTTAGTTTGCTAACTGATCGCGTTTAAGTGACACATGCTGTTCATTGACAGGTAGGGGGTGAAGAGGCAGCCCGCGAACTGCTGCTTGCAGCGCTAATAATTTTCCCGAATGTGTGTGGACAAGATGGCCGATTTACGATGTTATTGTCTCTTGCGAACCCCATCATCTCCAATACAGTTCAAAACTACAAATCGCATGGTCCATCTACTCGATTGACAGGCACTGCAATACTCGAACGTCTCAGTAGGGGCGGATGCCTCGACGGGTAACAAATGGAATAGTAGTCGACCTTTTTTCGCGTTGCTGGGAAATGGACGCACTGAAGAAGAGTACGAACTAAGTTGTTTCTTAACGTTAGCGTCTGTGTCTCCGTCCTTGGTTCTAAAGAAGCAGCAGTCGCTGTAAAGCGCTGGGACGGTGTAACGGGGCAGCCCGTTACATGGGAGTGTCACTTTAAAAGAAAGTGACAATAAAGAATATGAAGTTGAATATTCTTTGAACAGTATCACCGATAGTGGTGATATTGGTGAGGCGACCAAAGGGTCTGCTCATTGGTTGATATCGTGATGATATCAACCCACCAATCGCCGCAGGACGCGCGCAATGAGTGGTGACGAGACGTCACGATACACTCAGTTACATCAGCATAATCAAGTCAGGTTAAACAAAGAGACAGTAGCAAAAAGACTTAATTATATTAATATAACAGTTTTGCTTTTCCCTTACCTACGCTTCCTCGTTTGCCTCGTGTACGTCTGTCGGGGTACCCAAACCCTTGCGTTAAGTTCACGCAAGGGTGTTACACCTGGTAGCACTTTTCAGTCCTTCCAAGGACCACAGCATCCAACATGAACATGTTGGATGACGAAGAGACCTTTCACGCCACGCGTGAAGGGTTTAACCATTTGAGTGACATCGAATAAGTGCGGTAGAACGAATGAGTTCTACCGTAGGCGAACTCGTCGTTAGCACCATGTTGGAGTCTCTAGACAGAGACCAACAACATGCCGCTATAGCCAAGTTCATCCAAAGCGAACTTGTCGCCGAAAGGGAAAAAGTAGCCTTGCTTCACCAGCAAGGCTCTCTACAGGCCGAGCAGTTGAGAGAACTCGGTGCTCAACAGACAGAGCTGTTGAGACAGCAGCAATTCCATGCTGCTGTGGGCGGGACGACACATGCGCGTCGTCCCGAGGTCATGAGGGTTGACATCTCCAAGTACAGTGGAGTCCCGGAGGACTCTTTGTTACTATGGTTTGTCGAACTCGACAGAGCCTTAAGGGCTCGTCGCGTCGAAGATGAGCAAATGAAACTCACATTCGCTCAGACCCACTTGGCAGGGCGTGCCAAAACTTGGTCCCTGGGACTCGAGAGTAGCGACCCAAATGTGTTTAGGTCGCTAGATGACTTCAAGTCCCGGATAAGACAAACGTTTGAGCCGCCACGTGCTGAGTTCAGGGCTCGTTCAGAGCTCCTGAAACTCAAGCAGGGTAAGCGTGATGTTCACGCTTACGCACAACATATACGACTCCTCGCGAGTAGTGTAACTGCTAACCCATTCCATGAACACACGTTGATTACGGTGTTCATGCAAGGGCTCGCAAAAGGGCCCGTCCGGAGCCACCTGTTCCGCTTTGAGCTGAATACGCTGGAAGAAGCGATATCAGCCGCGGAACAGAAAGACTTTACGCATGAGACGGGCTCATGCTAGCTCAAACCCTTATCGTCCACCAAGACGACAAGAGATCGGAGGTCCAGAACCAATGGACCTCTGCTATGTTAAGAGCGAGAGACCTCGCTCTTCAAACAACAAGCGATTTCAGAGGTGCAATCGCTGTCAGAAGTTAGGGCACTACGCATATGAGTGTAGTGCTCCACTCCCAGTACCAAACAGTACTGAGCGAAATGGACGACCAATTGCCAGAAAGGGCAATGGGCGTGGGTCCACCGCTGTTGCGAAGCCGCAACAGCGAGACGGACCATCAAAAAATGGTCGGGGTCAGTAGGAGTAGAGCGCCCTACTGATCCAGCAACCTCAAGAAAATTCGGAAATCTCTTGACGAAAGTTGCTCCAGATACACAATCATTGTGAGTCTCTGCACCTGGTGATGACGTTTCGCTCATCACCTTGAAGTTGGAAGCGACAAATGATTTGTCGCTTCGTGCCCTAGTAGACTGTGGGGCGTCGAACAACTTTGTTCGTCGCCAGTCACTAGAGGGTCGTAGGCTCAAGTTCGTTGAGCACGACATTCCCCTCACGAGGATGACGGTGCGCCTTGCAACAGGCGCATCGATTACCGTTGAGAAACGTGTAGTAGGAATCCACTACACGTTAGAGGGCGAACAGTACGATGATGACTTCATCGTACTGGATCTGGATGACAAATTTGATGTCATCCTAGGATTACCTTGGCTCAGAAAGTACGAGCCAAGGGTGAGCTGGCAGCATCGATCCGTAAAGATGCCTGCCGATTGTTCATCACTTGGCCATCTGATGAACGTCATGGAGCGTCCACAAGCGTGTGGATGTTCTGCGAGTGAGTGCGATGGCCTCACTTGCGGTTCGGTCGTTAGCACGACTGCACAAGATCACAGTGTAATTGATCACTACACTGTGGAGCAAGCTCCCGGGGGCTGAACAGAAGTACAGGCTGCGCCGAAGGTCCACCACTCGAATAAGTCGAGTTGACCGGGACATTCATGCATGCCTAGCGGGCAGCATCTTTGAAGTAATAAACCTGTTGCCTCCAAAGGGCAACATGGAAATCCTAGGTCGACTGGAGGGTCGACCGTAGAGGATCGGTCCCTGACTGTGGTTGCACAGCCACAGTCAGAAGACGTCGAGGGAATAAGTCCCCACGTACATGAGAAAGGAATTACTCAAGAGTCACTTGCTGAAGGATTAGGCCTTCAGCAACCTGTGGAAAGAAGTTCCCAGGAAGTGACCGAGACGTTGAACGTCTTGGTTAATGACGGATCAAGCGTAGGCGCTTATACGTTTGATCTGATTGTGCCTCCGAAGTTAACTTCGGAGATACATCAGTTGCCAACGCTAGAACCGAAACGGTTCTTGCGTGATCTGTGCAGTGGCAAAGTCAAGCAGATCTGCATACTCGTCACAGAGGATGAGTATGTGGCCGATATTCGGTCGGCAACAGTATTTGCTGAGAACGAACGGGTTCTCAGCAGCTCATCGATGGACGAAAGTGTTCTCGATGAGAAGACTCGGATTGATGCGATACACGTCTTAATCCTGGGAGTCACTTCAGGCAAATCCTTTGTATAAGTATTTGATCGAATTCAAGGATGTATTCCCTAAATCCGTACCTTGCGAGTTGCCTAAGGACAAAGGCACTCGACACGAGATCGAGCTCAAACCGAGCTCGAAGTACTGTGTCATGAAGCAGTGGCCACTGCCTCGTGAACAAGTACTAGCGATCGACAAGTTCTTTGCCGATCGCTTAGCAGCGGGCCATGTGAGGGAATCAACATCCCCTCACAGCTCTCCGACCTTCTGTGTGCGAAAGGCCACAGGAGGGTGGCGGATGGTGCACGCATTCAACAAATTGAATGCTGCAACGGTACCGGCTCAGACGCCAATACCGAGGAAGGACGTAATCATAGATGGTATGTCAAAGAGTACCATCTTTTCGTCCATGGATCTGATAGATGGGTTCTATCAGATCCTCATGCGTGAACGGGACATCCCGTGCACGGCATTGAGTACCCCCAGCGGGATGCTGTGGGAGTGGCTAGTTATGCCACAGGGGCTGAGCAATGCCCCTGCAACATTCAACAGATGTGTCACAAATCTGTTGAGACCGGTGCGAGACTTCGCACCGAGTTACTTCGACGATGTGTTCGTCCATAGCCGGGCTATGGACGGAAAGACGGACGTTGAAGTTTACAGAACTCACGTTCGTCAGGTTCTTCAACTTATGCGCAAGCATAAATTGTATGTCAATCTTGAGAAGTGTATCTTCGCGGCTAGCGAAATATCACTTCTTGGTTTCATCGTGGGTAAACACGGCGTATGCCCTGATCCCGAAAAGATCAAGGCGATCACCGACTGGCCAGTGCCAGTCGATGTCAAGGGACTACGTAACTTCCTTGGGCTAGCGGCGTACTTGCACAAGTACTCGCGCAACTACGCCGAGATGACTGTTCATCTTTCTTGCTTGCTCAAGAAAAATGTCAAGTGGTCATGGAACGCTGAGTGCCAGCGTTCCTTTGAGAGTATCAAGCAAAGCTTGATGCAATCGCCGATCTTGGCGATTGCAGATCAGGACAGACCTTTTCATGTGGTCTGTGACGCCAGCGATTTTGCAATCGGCTGTTCGTTAATGCAGTTCGACGCAGATGGCGCGGAGCGCGTCATCTGAAATCAGTTGTGTCAGCTGCAAGCATTCGAGCGTAATTACCCAGTGCATGACAAGTAACTCCTTGCCATGAAGTATGCACTGGCTAAGTTCCGGGTCTATCTCTTGGGAGATAGACCGTTTGTTGTCTATACGGACAATGCGTCATTACTCACGGCCGTAA